AAAAAACCATTAAAAAATATTTTTTACTATTTTTATTAAAGTGTTTTCCTAGATTTTTAATAAGTAGCACAAATATTGATTTTTAAACATTATTCCATGTAATTGCTAATTTGTTTAAACAAATTATTATTGTTTATTTACAACTTTTTATCTAATTGAGCTAAAAAGTTTCGATTTTTTCTCAATTTTGCAACTTTTCAGGCCGAATGTAACCAGTCACTATCAACTGACTAAGAATATTAATTTTACCAATTGTTTAAACAAATTACTATTGTTTAATTTTATCCTTTTATCAAATTGAGCTACAGAGTCGCAATTTTTTCTCAATTTTGTATTTTTCCAAGCCAAGTGTAACTAAAGTTAATAACAACAATCTAAGGATTACAATTTTACCAATTGTTTAAACAAATTGTTATTTTAAATTTGAAGCTATCGCAGTAGTAATTTCAATGACGTAAATAAACATTTTTGTACTTATCATTTTTATAATAATAAATTTATTGTTCACAATTTTTACTCGAAAATTAAGTCTTACATTAATTATTACCTCACAAAAAAAATAAAATGTACAATTAAAAAAAAGTTGCAACTCTGTAGCTCATTTTGATAAAAAGATAAAATTAATCAATAGTAATTTGTTTAAACAATTGGTAAAATTAATATTCTTAGTTAGTTGATAGTGCCTGGTTACATTCGGCCTGAAAAGTTGCAAAATTGAGAAAAAGTCGAAACTCTTTAGCTCAATTTGATAAAAAGTTGTAAATAAACAATAATAATTTGTTTAAACAAATTAGCAATTACATGGAATAATGTTTAAAAATCAATATTTGTGTTATTTATTCATAATCTAGGAAAAAACTTTGATAAAAATAATAAAAAATATTTTTTAACGATTTTTTTGTCATTTGGAAATTTATGGGGTTTTTTTGGGGTACTACAAAAAAAAGTTAATTTAATAAATGATTAAATATATAATTTATCCCTATTCTTTGAAGTCTTCTGAAGAGAAACAGAGTTTACTGAATGAAAAATATTGATTTTCAAGGATTCTATTCCAATTCTACGAAAAAGTGTTTTTACACTTTTTAATTTTTTTTTTTTTTTTTTTTTTTTTTTTTTTTTTTTTTTTTTTTTTTTTTTTTACACTTTTTTTTAACTTTGAGCGCTTTGAGCGACCTCTAAATATTTTTTTATTTTCAAAAAAAAATAGGGGTATTTTTTTTCTCCATATAGAACAATCCTAGGGGGTGAGAGCATTAAAATTCCGATTTTACTTTTTTTGGACCACCCTAATGAGGATTTACGGGCAATAAGGGGACGGTTTTTAAAAATTTTTTAAAATTTTTAAAACTGAAAGGACTACTTAACAAAATTGTATAATCATTTAATTATTTGAATAATAATTTTTAATAATTAAAATAATTCAGGATTATTGTGTATAAAAATTTGTAGTCATACGGCACTGGAATTGATATAGTAGATTAGGAAAGTTTTCATCCAGCCATCAGTGGCCGTGCGGTTTAAATGCGTTTCATTGTAGTCTTCCGGTATGCGTCGGGGCGGGGGAACGTGAGTTCGATCCCACTTGCGAGCGGATATTTTTCATTTTAAGCGTTATATAAAATAATAAAATTACTATTTAATCTGTATAAATTATAAGTGTTGTAAATAAACACTTGTGAACATGTTTGTAAATAATATTAAAAATCTGTTAAAAAATGTACTACATTAACACAAATTATCTTTTTTTACTAAAATTATTTTTTAATATTACTATTTTTAATGAGATTTATATTGTCAGTAATTTATTTTTGATATGAAAATAATATAATTATTCAAATAGTAACTTATTGTCCTTAAATATATAAATACACATATATGAATAAAAAATAATAAGAATAATATTTATTATTATAATGATTAACAATTCATATATATTTATATATTATATTGAATGAACGCGAGATTAGCTACTCGCTGTAATATTTCTACATGCGAGTCATATGCGACCATCATGACGTGCGATTCATATGCGACGCATACGAGGACGCATCTGTGTGGTCCTGTGATAGCACGCGGTGCGAATTATTTCGCACGCATGCGAGCACTGTGTCTGGCACAGTGCTCGCACTTTGCTATCTGGGAAGTAGAGAAAAGTTCTTTAAAACTAACTTCTAATGCTTACAGATACTTACCAGAGATAGTTTTAAAGAACTTTTCTCTACTTGTTTTCAGAAAAGTTTCTTAGATAACTTTCTGCAAGCTAACACGGAAAACTAAAAAGCGTAGGACATTTATAGGCCAAGGGAAGCTAACGGGAAGCTAACCATGTTAGCTATAGAAGCTAACATGGTTAGTTTCCCGTTAGCTTCCCGCAAAATATGGTGCTATGTGGGGGGTCATTATTTCATTTAATTTTAAAAAGACTATTCCTTCTGATTCAATATACATATTGTTTATACTATGCCCATCTGATACATACTGATTCGAAATCGCAATTGATAAGTATTTTTTTGTTTACATAACTATGTGTAATATTGTATTTTAATTGAAATAATTCTTCTTCTTGAATAAGAAGTAATGATGTTACTGAGATTTCTGAAGGCAATTTAAAAAATTTAGACTATAAAATATTTTGTATAACTTTTAAAAAAATGATTTTTTTAAAAATTAATATTCAGTATATTGACATTTCTCACAAGCGCAGTTTTAATCTCCTCAGTTAGTATATAAAGAAACTCAATTCTTTCATCTACAAGTGCGAGTTATATTGTATGTGCGTTGCGTCAGAATTCGTTTATATGTATGCGTATTTCCGTTAAGTTAGTGTCAGAATAAAATAAGCCAATCCAAGCGAACCATTACGTTGTAGAGTGCAGTCACATGTGTCGAACCAATCATCTATCTCCTATAGAAGTCGAGAAAAAATAGTCTTGAGAGCTCATTGGTACATTAAGAAATTCTTTTTTCTGCTTTATTCGTTTTTTTCTCCGTGAATATTTTTTTCCGTGGCGCATGCGCTTCAGGCTAAACATTTTACAAAACTCTTGAATTAGAACGTCCAACCGATCATTTGTGAAGTCCATAGAATTTTTTTTGAGTTTTCGAGAAACGCAGTCATCATATATTACTATTGATTCTGTTTTATCTTATACTAAACTCCTCTCCGTATCCGCTATTCTAAAATTAGTTTCGTAAAATGTACTAAATTAATTTTTTCCGTGTAAGGTCCCTTTTCATAGACCAGGTCACATATGAGCGATTCCACGTCAAGTGATCAAGGGGTCTTACGGTGCAAAAATGCTCTTTTTTGTGTCAAAATCAAAGAACTTTTGATAGAAGTGATCAATTTTAATAAATCCAACGGGAAACAAAAGAATAATTCCTACAGAATACAGGAAAAATATGGAAAAAGTGAAAAAAAAATTCCTAACCTATTAAAAATCCCGATAAAGTTAAGTTTTTCTATGAAAAATATCATTTTTCGCCTGCACAGCTAAGAAAAACATCGGCAATAACTAAATAATTAATTAAACTTGAAGACTTTGTCTTACTGATTAAAACCTGATGTTAACATTGCACATTCAAAATGGCGAATTCAATATGGCTGACAAAATGTAACAAATTTTTGGATTCTCTTGAAACTTGTTTACTTAAGGTTTTTGAGGTCGCTGATCACGAATCTGATGTCAGTTTTCAAAAATTCAAAATGGCGGATCCAATATGGCGGACAAAATATTAAAAATTTGTTCGGATTTTCTTGAAACTTGCTATCTATAGGTTTTTTGGGTCGCCGATTACGAATCTGACATCAGTTTTCAAAAATTCAAAATGGCGGATCCAATATGGCGGACAAGATATAAAAAAAATGTTCGGATTTTCTTAAAACTTGCTATCTATAGGTTTTTTGGGTCGCCGATTACGAATCTGATATTAGTTTTCAAAAATTTAAAATTGCAAATCCAGTTTAGCAAAAATGAAATTTAGAATTCAATTGAATTTTTTTAAAACTATAGATAGCAAGTTTCAAGAAAAGCCGAACAAATTTTAAAAATTTTGTCCGCCATTTTGGATTCGCCATTTTGAATTTTTTAAAACTGATGTTATATTCGTAATCAGCGACCCAAAAAACCTATAGATAGCAAGTTTCAAGAAAAGCCGAACAAATTTTTAATATTTTGTCCGCCATTTTGGATTCCATTTTTGCCCACTGTGCGGTGCAATGTTTACTTTGAAAATTTGTTACTCTTAAACAATTAAACATGGAAATTTGACCGAGTACAGTTTCGAAAGGTTTTTTCATGCTCTTTCGATTGGAAATAAGCATTTTGAAAAAAAAAATTTTTTTGACCAAAAAAAATCAAAATTAAAAATAAATTTTAATTTTTGGGGGGGAAGGATACGATTTTTTTTTTTTTTTTTTTTTAAACGAAAGCTGAGGTTTTTTCCTAAAAGGACATATAAATGAAAAAGTGGGACAAGAATGTTTAAACACTGAAAAAAAGAGATTTCTACTGACCGGAGTGCTAAAAACCCGGTTTTTGGCTGTTTGGTAGAAATCTCTTTTTTTCAGTGTTTAAACATTCTTGTCCCACTTTTTCATTTATATGTCCTTTTAGGAAAAAACCTCAGCTTTCGTTTAAAAAAAAAAAAAAAAAAATCGTATCCTTCCCCCCCAAAAATTAAAATTTAAAAAAATAAAATAAAATAAAATAAAATTTAAAAAATATTTTTACCAAAAATCACTATCCACTAGTACTACAAAAGCCCCAAGTTTAGGCACGATTGGAGAAAAAATTTTTTCCACCTTGATCACTTGACATGGAATCGCTCATATATTGATTAAAATTAAGAATTAATCTTGTATCAAACTCTTACTTGTAAAAAAAAATAAACTGTGATTTAAAAACATTTAATATTGTTTAGTATGTTTCAATACGATTTTATTGATTATTTTTAGAAAAGAGATTTTAATATTCAAAAAAAGAAAAAAGCTACGTTTCATTAGGTAGGGGGGAGGGGGTTCGGTAATATGCTACGTTAAGCTACGTGGGGGAGGGGAGGGGTCGAAAAGTTTAAAAATCGGAGCTACGTGGTTTATGGATGGTCCCATTACGTTGAATTTGTGCCACCAATTTGCCTTTAATTCTTGGGGTCAAAAGTGACGTATAATATTTGCATTAAGATTGCCACTGGAATTCATTTCACCCAACAATACTTGAAACATTTCTGTTGATGAAATTCGTTTTGTCCCAACAGACATTGCTTTAAATCTATAAACAGAAAAAATTTCTTTTTATATATGTACATACAAAGAATTTAATTTCAATCTATATCTTTAAGTCTTTTTTCTGTCTTCATTAAAATTTTGAATTTTTAAAACTAAAAAAATCGTCTTTAATTACCTATAGCCAGGCAATGCCTGAGAAGATAAATTTATCATATGCGAAACTTGGAAGTTTCTGCTTAAGCCTTTAATTCAAAATTATTTTAGCTCCCTCAAAGTTGTTTGGAAATACATCTGAAATTGATTTTGGAACTTTAAAATTCACCGATTAATTGACTATTATCAATTAAATATTTAATTGAATCAAATAATATTTATTGGAGAAGCATTTCACGTCAGAAATATCACGATTTGCAAAGGGTATGCCAATTTTCGCAAAACTTCGTGGGATTATATAGTTCATCTATATAAGAGACTTCTTTCCCCCAAATTTTTTCAACAATTTTGATTTTTTTTTAAATTTGGGAGAAAGAAGTCTCTTTTTATAGAACTATAATCCCACGAAGTTTTACAAAAATTGGCATATCCTTTGCTAATCGTGATATTTCTGACGTGAAATGCCTCTAGTTTCAATTAAATGGTATTTGCTTCAAGTAAATATTTAGTTGATAATAGTCAATTAAACGGTTATTTGAATCAAATACATTTTTTTCAGTGCAATAATATAATTACCTGTATTTATTACACAGGTCAACAAAAAAAGACTAACTTTTTTTTTATGAGATATCGGAATGGTTTCCGATGTATTTTTGGACGCTGAACACGATCCCGACTTCCAAAATTGCCCATCACGTCAGGATTTTGAGAAAAGTGGGGGTAAAGACCCCAAAAACGCTTTTTTGAGGATTTTCAACATTTTTTTTCTCTTTAACCTGACGTGCTAGAGACTTCCACAAGGTCTTAAATTAAAGCTTGTAATGTGCACTAGAAGACCCATATCAATAAAATAAAAAAAAATTAGAAGTTTTTTTAAAAAATGGGGTTGAAGGCACCAAAAAGGTGGGTTTTTCGATTGCTTTAATAGACTTCATGCTATTGCTTGGATTCGCTTAAAATTTGTTACTCGGGGTTTTTGGAGTCGTAGATTACGAATCCAAAATTAGTTTTTAAAAATTTAAAATGTCGGAACCAAGATGGCAGATATAAAAATTAAGAATTTCTTGGATTCGCTTAAAAGTTTGTTACTTCAGGGTTTTTGGGATCGCTGATTACGAATTCGCCATTTTGAATGTTTGAAAACTAATATCGGATTTGTAATCAGCGACCCCAAAAACCCTAAGTAACCATTTTCAATCGAATCCAAGCAATTGCAAGAAGTCTATTAAAGCAATTCAAAAACACACATTTTTTAGTGTCTTCAACCCCATTTTTAAAAAAAAATCTTAATTTTTTTTTATTTTATGGATATGGGTCTTGTAGTGCACATTACAAGCTTTAATTTAAGACCTTGTGGAAGTCTCTAGCACGTCAGGTTAAAGAGAAAAAAAATGTTGAAAATCCTCAAAAAAGCGTTTTTGGGGTCTTTACCCCCACTTTTCTCAAAATCCTGACGTGATGGGCAATTTTGGAAGTCGGGATCGTGTTCAGCGTCCAAAAATACATCGGAAACCATTCCTATATCTCATAAAAAAAATGTTAGTCTTTTTTTGTTGACCTGTGTTATGATTAATGATTAATATTAATCTAATTACTGGGCTCCAACCAGTGAAAGTATTTAAAAATACGGACTTTACAGACCAAAAATGAAAAATTACGGACCAATTACTGACAAAAATATAACCATACCATAAGTCAAATAAGAGAATATTTAACTTAAAACTACAAATTAAATTTTTCATAACTATAAAACATGAAGATATCGATAACGGAGTGATTATTTCTTCATGTTTTATAATAATTAAAGATGACCGAGTGATAAAATCATTATCAATTCAATTATTATTATCAAGAATTTTTAACTAAAATTCTTCTTTAAATATTTGTTAACAATATTCAATTTCACGAAATTTCAATTATTCGTAAATTCTTCAATTAAATATATATATTAGAAAATAAAAACTTGAAATAATTTCAAAAAAATTAATTTCAAAATTCAATTATTTTTAAAAATTCACACGCTATATTGCTTTTAATATTTAATTATTATCTAAAATTTAAACTGAAATTCATTTTTAAATCAATTTTAATTAGAAAATTTCCTTGAGAAGTCAATTATTTAAGTACAAAAATAAATAATTTATTGAACAATTGAATGTTTCTTAAAATTTAATTCCCATAGGGTGGCCGCAAAATTTTATTTTCAAAATTTCCTGGCTTTTCCCTGACTAACAAATTTTTGAATTATTTAATATTAATTAATTAATTAACTATATTAATTTGAATGTTCTTTCATTCTTTCATTCCTTCACTTTTTCTGTCCCTCACACTCTGCAATTATAACAACAATAGTAAGCAATTTAATTCTATCTATTGAAATAATAAATAAAAAAAATTTCAGTTCAATATCTGTTTGTGATAATAGAGAAGAATCAGAAGGAGCATGAATATTATAATTTCTCATTTTTTTCTTGAGAGCAAATATTTATAATCTCGTTACTAACCTTACTAAATCGTATATACATATATATATGAGGCATTCTTTCTCAAGTGGGCCACCCCTTCTCTCCATTTCAAATTTAATCCAAAAATCTTTTATAATAGCTCAAATTAAAGGTAAATATGTCAGCTTTTCAATGCCGTTGGGCCCTTTTTGAAATATTAATTTCCTAATGAACTATATATAATTTAATGACAAAAACACTATGACCAATTCTTTTTCATATTAAAAAAAGAAGAAAAACCCAATTTTAAAAATGCTACAGGGCCTACAACATTAAATTATATGATAAATTAACAAAATTTCATATTATTTCCTAAAATTAAAGATGGCAAATCTAATATGGCGCCCAAAATTAGAAAAATTTATAATTTTTGTTCAAACTCACCATAAAGGGGTTTTTGGGATCGCTGATGACGAATTTGGTGTTAGTTTCTTAAAATTCAAAATGGCGAATCCAAAATGTCGGACTTAGAAATTAAAAATCAATCGAATTTGACTAAAATTTGTTATTTGAGGGTTTTTGGGATCGCTGATGAAGAATTTGGTGTTTATATTTCAAAATTCAAAATGGCGAATTCAAAATGGCGGACTTTAAAATTAATCGGATTTGCCTAAAATTTGTTATTTGGGGGTTTTTGGGATCGCTGTTGACGAATTTGGTGTTTGTGTTTCAAAATTCAAAATGGCGGACCTAAAAAATTAAAAATCAATCCGCTTTGCCTAAAACCTGTTTTTCGGGTGTTTTTGAGATCGCTGATAACGAATTTGATGTCAGCTTTTGAGAATTAAATACAAATTGGACAAATTATCGTTATTTATTTATTTAAAAATCTAAGTTCTTTAGGGTTATTTGAGTATCGCTTTATTCATAATAATTTCTATACAAAACATAAAAATCAGCAGCAATCACATAGCTGGCAATTAATATTTCAGCGTTATTGCATTCAAAATATCGAATTTCTAATACTCAATATAGAATCGGCAATCCCAAAAATATCACAGTAATGAATTTTTAGCAAATCTGATTAATGTTTCATATTACGTTAACTATATTAGATCCATTATATTGAATTCTGAAAAGCTGCCATCAAATTCCTAACCATAGACATCAAATTCGTAATCAGCGATCTCAAAAACTCCCGAAAAACAAATTTTAGGCAAAACCGATTGCTTTTTAAATTTTTAAGTCCGCCATTTTGGATCTACCATTTTGAATTTTGAGAATCTGACATCAAATTCGTAATCAGCGATCTCAAAAACCCCCAAATAACAAATTTTAGGCAAATCTGATTAATTTTTAATTTTTAAGTCCGCCATTTTGGATTCGCCATCTTGAATTTTAAAAAACTAACACCAAATTCGTCATCAGCGATCCCAAAAACCCCCAAATAACAAATTTGAGACAAATCCGATTAATTTTTAATTTCTAAGTCCGCCATTTTTGATTCGCCATTTTGAATTTTGAAAAACTAACACCAAATTCGTCATCAGCGATCCCAATAACCTTTTTATGGTGAGTTTGAACAAAAATTATACATTTTTTAAATTTTGGGCGCCATATTGGATTCGCCATCTTTAATTTTAGGAAATAATATGAAATTTTGTTAATTTATCATATAATTTAATGTTGTAGGCCCTGTAGCATTTTTAAAATTGGGTTTTTCTTCTTTTTTTAATATGAAAAAGAATTGTTCATAGTGTTTTTTGTCATTAAATTATATATAGTTTATTTGGAGATTAATATTTCAAAAAGGGCCCAACGGCATTGAAAAGCTGACATTTTTACCTTTAATTTGAGCTATTATAAAAGATTTTTGGATTAAATTTGAAATGGAGAGAAGGGGTGGCCCACTTGAGAAAGAATGCCTCATATATATACTAGGGTGGTTCTTATTTTGGAAAAGTTGGAATTTCTTAGGTCGCCGGCCGGAATTTGAATTAAAATGTGAAAAAAATGAGATTCCCAAAAGAAAAGCCCATTTGATAAATTTTATCCCGTGCCGCAAAAGGGTTAAAGTTTAAATGGGGTTTAACATGGGTTTGGTGTACTTCTGCAAACTTTGTATTATAACTTTTACATTTTTTAAAAATTTGACTTGGGTCTATGTATTCCCATAGTTTTTCGTACGCTGAACACGAATATGATGTCAAAAATAACTTTTGACAGCTACCAGTTGTCAAAAAAGCTGTCAAATTTTGAAGATGAGAATTTTCTCGACTTTTACATTAATTTCTACGAATAAAAAGGTTTCTTGTGAATATTTCAGTTTATATTTAGCAATTTTATACCCTTTGACAGTTGCCAGCTGTCAAATGAGTTGTCAACTTTTATAGAAATCAGATTTCAAAGAGTTTTATAAATCAATTATCACAAAAAACTTCGAAAATTGCTAAATGAATATTTTTTTCTAAAAATAATTTTTTAAAGACAAATAAACTTTAAAATATATGTAGTATAAAAATATTAATTATTACGTGCCACTTGGGTACAACTTATTATATGTATTTACATATTTGATTTTCATAATTTAATTAATTAATTAAAAAATTATATTTTGTATTAATTTGTCTAATACATATATGTTTTTAAGTTTAATTTTTTTAAAAATTATTTTGAGGAGGAAATAATTTTTTATAAATTTTAAAATTTATAAGAAGTAATTGGGAACGTCTTAAAAATCCTATTTAATAGAAGTTGACTACTAAATTGACAGCTGTCAACTGCCAAAATATATTAAATACCTATATATGAACTAAATTTACCTACAGAACCGTTTTTTTGATAATTCATTTAAAACTCTTTGAAAACTGATTTTTATAAAAGTTGACGACTCATTTGACAGATGGCAACTGTCAAAGGGTATAAATTTGCTAAATATAAACTGAAATATTCACAAGAAACTTTTTTATTCGTAGAAATTAATGTAAAAGTCGTGAAAATTCTCATCTTCAAAATTTGACAGCTTTTTTGACAACTGGTAGCTGTCAAAAGTTATTTTTTACATCATATTCGTGTTCAGCGTACGAAAAACTATGGGAATACTTAGACCCAAGTCAAATTTTTAAAAAATGTAAAAGTTATAATACAAAGTTTGCAGAAGTGCACCAAACCCATGTTAAACCCCATTTAAACTTTAACCCTTTTGCGGCACGGGTTAAAATTTATCAAATGGGCTGTTCTTTTGGGTATCTCATTTTTTTCACATTTTAATTCAAATTCCGGCCGGCGACCTAAGAAATTCCAACTTTTCCAAAATAAGAACCACCCTAATATATACTAGGGGGGCTTCGCCCCCCTGCGCGCTTCGCGCGCCAACCCCCTAACTATTTTTAATATTTATTTTAATTTTTAAAATCATGTTATCTTAATATGATGGCATAGTAATGAGTTAGAGTAAATTATAACAGGAGATATTAAAAAAGATAACTAATAGAGAATTCTACTTTACGGAAGTGATTATAGTGTCAACTTTTTCAAGTTTGACACTCCTCATAGTAAATTTGATAATTCTTTTTTCTCAGTGTCAAAAGTATTATTGGCCCCTTTTTACCTGCAGTTGACATAAATGTTGACGTAATGTAAGGGCCATTAGGGGCTGTCCATAAATTACGTAAGTCATTTTTTGGGTAAATTTGACCCCCTTCCTCCCTCGTAAGATATTTTACATACATTAGCGCCATTTTTCCTATTGTTCGCAAGATCTTGTTGACCCCCTTCCCCCCTAAATGTCTTATGTAATTTATGGACGGACTAAAGATTTCGACGTAAAATAATAGACGTTTGTGGGCTTCATTTCTACCCGTAGGTCAAAACTGACCTTAAAATTGACCTAAATTTTAAGAAAATATCAGATCAGAGGGAGATTTCTAGTCAAATTTTAACTTGTAGGAAAAAACTGCCATTAAAATTAAAGTACATTTTGAGGACAGAAAAATAATTTTAACAGAATTTAAAAAAAAAATATGTCAATTTATAACATCTTTTATTGATTAAAGCTTAATATTGAAATTTAGGTCAAACTTCTTTTAACCAATAGGTCGAAAATTCCGTCAAACTTTAATATAAGGGTACAACTTTTTAAAAAATCCTAATTAATTTGCTTTTTTCATGTATAGGCTAAAAAATATGTCAAATTTGACCTAAATTTTAAGGAAAGGTCAGGTCAGAGGAAGTTTTTTCGACAATTTTTGCGGTGTAGATGAAAACTGACCTTAAAATTGACCTAATTTTTGAGGGCAAAGGGAATTGTTCGTCAATTTTTTCCGTTAAGGTCAAAACTGCCCTTAAAATTGACCTACATTTTGAAGGTAAAGGGAATTGTTTGTCAATTTTTTACCTGTAGGTTAAAACAAAAAAATAGTGTGGCATTCCAGGAGAAATTTACTTCTTTTCGGAGCACCCTCACCGATTTCCTTTAAACTTGGTAGTATTACATTTGTTGGTCTAAAGTTTCAGAAAATCAATTTTTTAAGTAAAATCAATTGTTTATTTAAAAGTTACAACAATTGCTCAAAATTGTTTAAATGCCCATATCTTTTAAACGGTACAAGATAATTGAGTTTTCTTTTTTGCTAAACATTCATAAAGACGAGACGCTTCAAAAATGTTATTAATACATTTTCTCGTATTTTGTTAATTAAAAAAGTTATTTAAATAAATAAAATTAACTTTTGAGCAAGAATTCAAAATTAAATGACTTACGAACCAAAAAATTCCTTGTTTTTCACACTTTTATATTCCGAAGAGAAAAAGTTGATCGAGTTTTTCAATCACTTATAATTTAAACAATGATTCGCTTGTTTACAATTATTTTGCAACCAAATGATCATCTGTTCTCACCTGCGCACGACTACTGCTACGTCACGTCCGTCTGTCGGCATATAAATATTTGACAAACGTGGAAAAATTGAGGTTATGTTTAATCAAAACAACGCATTTCAATCTTTTTAAAGTTTTTAGCAGTCATTGAAAAAAAGTTAAATCAGGATATTGATTAATTGTTAACAAATTAATACACTTTTTTAAAAAAAGGAGGTTTATTTTCTTATTCTGTTGATGCACATGATCTAAATCAATTTAAATTCATCCAATATGACCACCAGATAATTAGTTAAGCATAAAATAATTTATTTCAATTGTTATAAACAATATATAGCCCAACAACGAGCAGGGGCGGTGGATTGCAGAAGTAAATGTTTATTTTGACCAGTTAAAAGTTCTTGTCCCACGTTTTGACCTATACATTTTTTTTAGGAAAAAACCTCACCTTTATGATAAAAATTTTTTTTAAAAAATAAAAACTGTCCATTTGATGAAAAAATGAAATTTTATTTTTTAATTTAATTTTTCAAGGTCAAACATTTTTTTTCTCTACATTTGTTTACACCATTAGAGAGTGTTGAAAAACAGCAGAAAAACCCAAAATAGAAAACGTATTTTCGTTTTGTTTTAAAGAAACTACAAATTTTTCAAATATTCCATGTTAGACCAAAAATTTAAACTTTGACCCCCTCCAGTTTTAATATTTGTTTAAATAAATTAATAATATTTAGTATTTTTAATTGTATCTAATGGGACTACTGTTTCTGCAAAATTTTAACCCGATCCCAAACATTTAAAATTTTGACCTGGGTCACTTAACGTGGAACCCGTCATATATATATATGTATGTATATACCGTTAAATATAACTCAATTTGTTGCTTTATTTATTGTGTTAGATTTTCAATTTGAAGTACACTTCAGAGTAAGTATAACTCAGTATCCTGTAAACAAAAAATCAAATTAATTAATTTATAAAAGTTTAAAAAGAGATACATGAATATTATTCAAAATAATGTATCATTTAAATTATTATTTTCAATTCAATGTTATTTTATTTACAACATTACTTTTATAAACTTTTTTACAATTAATTAATTTTTGTATTTTCGTGTAAATGTTTCGCAAACATTGTATTTATAAGAATTATATGAAATAATTGACTAATCGAATTAATAACTACTAACCATAAGAATTTGTTCCCACATTTAAATTTAATTGAATAAAGGAAATATCTTTTATTCTATTAAACAAATTACTTTTTCTTGAACAGAAAATTTAAAAAATAGCTGAATAAATTTAAAAAAAATTAAGTCAAACAGATGGATGTTGGATATTTATGCGCCTAATTTAATTGTAATAAAACATTTATTGAAAGAATTTTTGCACTATTTTGTACAAACATTCATTATTAAAATTAATTAGACAAATTTCGATGAAATAGCAAGAAGTTTTGTAAAATCTGCACCTTTTGAGAAAGTTTTTTCTTTTAAAATTGTCCTTAAAACATGAGGTATAGGAACATGAATCCTTGTTCCCAATGGTGTACCGCTGTCATCAATAAGCACAATATTGTTACTATCAAATTTTGCTACTTTCTTCTTTTGCGGTGCTTTTAATCCAACAAGAATTCCTTTCTTCTTCTCCCCGCAAATTGCGACCATTACTTTATCACCTTTAAATTAAATACATATTCAATTTACAATATGAAATTTTATTAGAAAATATTGTAGAATATTTTCTCAAAAACTTAATAAGCTAATATTTTTTATTTTTATACTTATAGCATAATAATTATGCTACAAAATTATGACTTATTTACTATTTATAATAATAAATGGAATTATTGTTTTATAATAGATTTTTTTAAATATTTACCAATATATCCGGTGCCCTTTTTGTTGTAAATGTGAATACATCTTGGTGGTTTACCAATTTTCATGGCCTTTTTTCCGATTTCACTATTGTCTACGACCCTTAGTCGGGAAAGTTTAATAATTTTATTATGAATAGCAGATGTCTTAAAAGATCTGAATAAATTCATTGATGCTAAGTTTAGTACCATTTTTCTGAAATCGTAATACAATTTATTAAACATTCTTAAAAAATAATTATTTTTACATAATTGAACAAATATTACAATGAATAATTAACATTTACTTATATGAAACAAAAAAATTTTAAGTTGATAAATATTACAATTTTTACCTTATAAAAAAATATTTGGATACAAAACAATATGAACTATTGTTAATGTTATTTTCAATTTTCAGTCATCTATTAGATAAATATTCATTAATTTATGACAATTAATTTTGTTGAAATAATTTCAATCTTAAAAACTTTCAGCTCTATCGGCGATATCTAAGGTTATGTAAACATGCTGTCAATAACAGGGTTGGAAACTTAAAAACACAAAATTGTTAGAAAGAAATGCATACATTCGCAAATGATAAAGGCCTTTCTCCAATAGGTTTTAAAAAGTGTGCGAAGGACTGCGTCTGCGTCGGTTGCTATAGCAACACATGCTAAAATCAACGCAACGCAGTCATTCGCACACTTTTTAAAACCTATTGGAGAAAGGCCTTTAGAGCATAAAGGCCTTTCTCCAATAGGTTCCCAAAACTCTGCGTCTGCGTCCGTTGCTATAGCAACACATGCTAAAATCAACGCAACGCAGTCATTCGCAAACAAACGCAGAGTTTTTGGATCCTATTGGAGAAAGGCCTTAAAGGCCTTTCTCCAACAGGTTTTAAAAAGTGTGCGAATGACTGCGTTGCGTTGATTTTAGCATGTGTTGCTATAGCAACCGACGCAGACGCAGTCCTTCGCACACTTTTTAAAACCTATTGGAGAAAGGCCTTTGGAGAATAGCGAGAACTCTGCGTTTGTCTGCAAATGACTGCGTTGCGTTGATTTTAGCATGTGTTGCTATAGCAACCGACGCAGACGCAGAGTTTTTAAAACCTATTGGAGAAAGGCCTTAAAGGCCTTTCTCTAAAGGCCTTTCTCCAATAGGTTTTAAAAACTCTGCGTCTGCGTCGGTTGCTATAGCAACACATGCTAAAATCAACGCAACGCAGTCATTCGCACACTTTTTAAAACCTATTAAGGCCTTTCTCCAATAGGATCCAAAAACTCTGCGAATGACTGCGTTGCGTTGATTTTAGCATGTGTTGCTATAGCAACCGACGCAGACGCAGAGTTTTGGGAACCTATAGGCCTTTCTCCAATAGGTTTTAAAAAGTGTGCGAAGGGCTACGTCTGCGTCGGTTGCTATAGCAACACATGCTAAAATCAACGCAACGCAGTCATTCGCACACTTTTTAAAACCTATTGGAGAAAGGCCTTATTGGAGAAAGGCCTTAAAAAGAAAGGCCTTCAATAGGATCCAAAAACTCTGCGTTTGTCTGCGAATGACTGCGTTGCGTTGATTTTAGCTAGTGTTGCTATAGCAACCGACGCAGACGCAGAGTTTCGGGAACCTATTGGAGAAAGGCCTTTAAATACTGAAGCTTCTACGCGCCACCATGCGGCACTCAGGGTGCGATCCCATGTGAGCAGAATACGTCGACCGAAAGCAGAAAATCATGAGTGCGAAAGAGATAGATAGATATTGTTGTTCTTTTCACTCTCATGATTTTCTGCTTTCGGTCGACGTATTCTGCATACATGGGATCGCACCCTCACTCGTGTTGTGCGGCACGTAAAGGCCTTTCTCCAATAGGATCCAAAAACTCTGCGTTTGTCTGCGAATGACTGCGTTGCGTTGATTTTAGCATGTGTTGCTATAGCAACCGACGCAGACGCAGAGTTTTTAAAACCTATTGGAGAAAGGCCTTAGAGAGGAACCGGCCTGTTCGTAAGTTCCTTGATGCGTGCCTCCCTACGTGCCTAGTAGCGTTCCTAGTTGTAGCAGAAGAGTTTTGAAAATATTTTGTTACTGAGTATTTTATTTATGAAATTGGAATAAATCTAATGAATTATGTTTTATTAATATTATTTCAAGTCTTTTATTTTGCATATATTACATTGGTTTGCTAGAAAATTACAAAATTTCAATTTAATACCTTGAGATAAACATAACCGCAAAGTAAAAAATGATTATTTTGATTAATAGGATTAATCTAATGAATTATGTTTTATTAATATTATTTCAAGTCTTTTATTTTGCATATATTGTCATTGGTTTGCTCGAAAATTACAAAATTTCAATTTAATACCTTGACATAAACATAACCGCAAAGTAGAAAGTGATTATTTTGAATAGCAAATAAAAGTATATAATTTAAATTTATTTCAACAATATCAATTTTTTAGAATAAATTATTGTTATTAAAAATTACTTATTTGTGTTCTTCCTTTAATTTTAATAAATACAATTGAGGTATTTAAAATAAAAAATTCTTTGATAACAAAATATTTTTTTAATTCAATAGTGACAGATCGATTTAGAAGGTCATTAATATTTTAAATCTGCTTTCATCTCAATTTTCTTTAAAAATACATTGTTTTATCGACTTTTGAAAAATTGTTCCCTACTAAAAATAAAATCAGGAATCGTCATGAATGGTCAGAATTTCTGAACATTCCTGAACAGTCTCACCACTTCTGACGTTTTCGAACGTTTCTCACCATTCCTAACCAAATACTTTCCAAGCTCCTCCCACTTTACTCCCACCATTTTCGAAGCTGTGACCATTTCTGTAATTCCTGACCATTTCTGAAATTCTTAACTATTTCTGAAATGTGTGAACACATAACCTATAAAAATTTTGGTACATCTTTCTAATTTTGGTAAAGTCTCATGAAAATTTATATATATATACATATAAAATCTTTCAAATTTATTTTTTACATTTCAGAATACATTATTCTATTATAAAAATTGTTCTTTTAACTTAACAAAAGTTCTCATTTTTCAAATTGGTATAATTATTGAATTAATTATACAGCAAAAGTAGGTAAATAAATCAAAACATTCGGACCGTTCTTTTAATATATTTATTTAATGTATATTTATAATATATTAATTTAATATATGTATATTTACTTGTAATTATTTAATATAGTTAATTAATAATAAATTTTGTTTCATAATATTAGTAATTTACTATACCAGTCAGTACTTATTATGAGAAGTATTTGCATTATAATTGAAATACAGTTATATTTAAATTATTATTAATCATTAATAGAATAATTTCTTACTATAATGATTATTAATAATTTGAATTTTAAATTTATAAAAATTTCAATATTGCATTAATAATTCATTATTATTATAAATTATAATGTTAAATTAAATTAATATTAAATACTAAATTCATTTTAAATGCAGATATAATAAAAATTATTATTAATCTGTATTCGTATTATAGTTTATGAAACATTTCAAATTGTAAAGTTAAGACTTAATTTATTATTGGTTCAATTAATAATGTTAATTTTTATTAATTCACATAACCTATTATGACTAAATTGAAATATAATTAATTAATAAAAGTTATTTAACAGTTCATTCTGATTTATTGATAATATTGGTAATTGAATTTTACTATTTTACAGTTGCTCTTTATATAGACAGTTGAATCCAGAAATATGTAAGTCGGTTCGGTAGTCGCAGTCGTTAGGGCAGTTAGTTTAGGCACTAGGTTAGGTCATGCGTCGGGGTTCGATCCCCGTAGGGTCCAAATTTTAATTTAATTCCGGGAATTAGTTTCAAGTTGTTCCGTATGTAAACAAACTGATATTAATTAATAAAATATATATTTTAAAATTAATTTGTTGCAACTTTTTGCATATTGTTTAAATAAATAAAACAGAAGTGGCTTAAAAATATGGTCAAAAATGAGATACAAATGGTCTCAAATAGTCACCAATTACACAGTGCAACACATAAAATGTGCACTAAGTTTTGACTTCAGTTTCTGAAAGTACTTATCGAAACTAGCAAAAACCTATTTCAGTTTTGCTAGATTAGCTCGGATTTAAATTTTATCGACATTTGAATTTTTTTTTGAATTTTCATATTTTTCAGTTTTCTGATACGGGCTGATGGGAACACTGGATATAAAAAGTTTATTAAAAAAATTCGCAATGGTCACAATTTGAAAAGCAATAATCCCTCTTTAATTAGAAAGAAAGAAAAAAAAATTTGGTCGAAAATTGTTCCAGTTACGAATTTTTTTTGTCTTTTTTACATTTTTTGGTTTTATGAAACGGGCGGGTGAGAAAGCTGGCTATTAAAAGATTATAAAAAAAAATTCGCAGTGGTAATCATTTAAAGAGCAATAATTCCTCTTTAATTTCTGACTTTGAAAAAAAAATTTGGTCAAAAATTGTTCGAGTTATGAATTTTTTTTCACTTTTTCACATTTTTCGGTTTTTTGATAAAGCGGGTGGAAACGCTGGCTATTAAAAGTATATATAAAAAATTTGCAATGGTCACCATTTGAAGAGCAGTAATTCCTCCCTAGTTTCTGCCATTAAAAAAAAATTTGGTCAAAAATTGTTCGAGTTATGAATTTTTTTCGTACTTTTTCAAATTTTTTTTGTTTTTGATCTGGACGGGTGAGAACGCTGGTTATTAAATTTTTCTTTTTTAAAAACGCAATGGTCACATTTTGCAGAGCAATAATTCCTCTTTAATTTCTGTCAAAGAAAAAAAATTTGGTCAAAAATTGTTCTAATTATGGTTTTTTTTTACTTTTTCACATTTTTCGGTTTTTTGATACGGGCGGGTGGGAACGCTGGCTATTAGAAATGAATTAAAAAAATTCACAACGGTCAAATTTTAAAATGCAATAATCCTTCTTTAATTTCTGATAAAAGAAAAAAAATTGGTAGAAAATTATTCGTGTTATTTATTTATTTCTGTACATTTGTATACACGGAAAAAAATTAATCTCTAAACTTGAAATAATATTAATTTGAAGTCCAATGAAATATAAGTGTATCTAAATTAAACATTATAGTCACAATTACTGTGATAAGTTGTGTTTGATTCTGTCAAACTTTATACCAGAAAACGCCATAAATTCACATCTCTGATTTAGAGATTTGTTAATTTCACAATTTTTTTTATATGAATTAGGTACATTGTGTTTTAAGTTAATCAGTGACAAAAAAGATTTAAACCGTTTTAATTAATTAAGTATTAATTTTATTTTCAAATATCCAAATAAAAGCGAAGGTCTGTGAAATTTTAAGGTTACAATTGTCGCCCGACAAAATACGGCACTGACTGATTTAAATGACGTGAAATAGGTAAATAAACATTTTTCAACCACTTTTTCTCTAAACACAGACACTTTTTACAAAATAGGCCAACATACAATGGGTAAGAATCTTCTTAATAACCAGAATTCAAAAGATTGTTTAAATTCATGCAGAAACGCC